AGAAGGAAACGCAGCCTCAAGCAAATAAAATAAATAATAAAATAATAAAATAAAATACTAAAAAATAAAAAAATAAAATAATAAATAAAAAATAAAAGGAATTAAAACAAGAAAAACATTTTTAGCGATCCTCCTCTGTTGAGCAACCAGCTCTGCAAACCCACTCTGCCTTCTTCCTCCCTGAGTCTCCTGGCACTGCAGGGAATGTGTCCTGGCCACCAGCAAAAGCAAGATCTGACCCATTTTGGTCCAGCTGCAATATTTAACTTTTGGAATTTGTAAGTCATATATAAAACAAGACCAAACCCCAAGGTTCAGTAATCTAACTGCTGTGCCAGGGACACAGGCAAATCAGAGGGATTACAAATGCTCAGTGCAAGGGGAGCAGCTGATGTCTAAAAGGCTCAGTAAAATAATAAGAGATTCACACCAGGAAACAGCCACAACAACATGTGAAATGTATTTTAAAGGCATTTAATAGATTTCTATTAACCCCTTGGACTGTTGGGAAAGGCCTGTGGAAATAGAAAGATGTGTCAGAGCAGAACCATCAGCTGCAGAGAATGTTAGTTAAATAAAATTTCAGTTTTCTGAGAGACATGAAGGAAAAGAAATGGTCCATCACAAGAAAACCATCATTTTCTCCAATGTACCCCAAAGCAAAGCTATAGTGATGTATGAGGAAAATATATTTTGTACTTCACTCCTCTTAATATCCCCTTACCTTTCAGCTGAAACAAAAAGGAGGTAAATTTTAAAAAATTTCTGTCCTTTACTTATTATTAATTTAAAATATAATTTCTCTTCACTTGGGAAGGCACAACAGTTGTCATTGTCTCAAACCCCAACAGATACAGCAACTTTTTCCTATTATTAGAGTTTAATCTGTGCCCACATTTTTTTAAACATGTCCTAATTTTCCTCCCTCCAAGACACTTCTTTACAAAAGCTGACAATCTTTAATTGTTTCTATGCTTTACTCCCTATCAGGAAAATTAGGACTTCTCTGTTCACCTCGTACTTGCCAGAGAAGTTAGCCAAGATTTGTTCATGATGATTATTTTTGCTGTTTGCTGATGTCCTTGGTTCAGAGTTTCTGCCAGGTGTTTATTCGACCCCAGCAGACAGAACGTAACAAGTTGTGAGGCATAAGGTTTTTCATAAGGGTTTTTTTAAATTCATTTGTCATTGTATGTCATAATAGTCTTCTAACTCTCCAAATACCCCCTCCCACTTTGAATCTCTCTTCAGTTAAGTTTTTTTGGCAGTGATTTCCACATGCAAACCATGTGTCAAAAATACACCTTTTGTGATGCTGAGGAACACTGAGGTTTCCTAAAATATCGATCTTCCAGACTTAATTCTGGTCTCTTGTTTTATCCATTAAGCATGAGTGTTTTTCATTCCCTCTAGATAAACTAAATATTCACCCTTTGCAGCTTCTACCTTTTTGCAATAAAAGGTGAATGTGCATCCTCAGATCAGAGGACTGAGTGCCAAAGAATTATTTTATTTTTTAGAAATAGTGAGGTATGAGCATCAGGATAACTATTCCCATGGCGTGGAAACAGACTCTGGATGTGAGATATGAGGATTAGAAACATTAAGAATATTTTCACTACATAGGATATTATTTCCTTTTCATGTGACTTTTCTTTACTTTCAGTTTCATGTGATTAGAAGGCATAACAAAAAATGAGGACATTTAAACCCGCCTCACATTATTTACTTCATGCAGTCAACATTCACAAGCATCAAAGCTTTTCTTTCAGTTCTCTATCAAAAACCACGAAGCTTTAAGGCTTGGCCAAAGAATCAACACAAACCCAAAGCAGAGGCATCAGCTCATGAGACTGCTGACAGAATGGATTAAACAGACGTTTGAAAGTATTGCCAATGCTGTGGGAGAAAAAAGAAAAGGCCTCAGTTCTACGCTTTCTTTTAAACTAAGAAGTCCAGCTTTTGTAAACTATTCACTTTGTTGATGCTCAATAAATACCTACTGATGAGATGACATCATCTGCTAATGAAAATAATTGCTCAAAGGCTTAACCCTGTTTTTAGGTAAAATATATGGGCTATTCAAGCTTTGAATTAAAAAAAAATAGAAGAATAAGAATGGATTTTCGTGATCAAGGAAATGTTATAGTCCTTGTTTGAAAATGGGGTCTGACTGCTTTCACAAGTGGAATTGGATCCTGGAAGAATATCATTGTGGTGTTCCACAGAATTTCAATGCATGCTCAGATTTGCTCCTTCTTTGCCCATTCATTATTTGCTGTTTTAGTGCTGGGGACAGGTATCATGATGGCTTTATTTGTCAGCAATGCTGCATTGTCCATACTGGGAGATTATGCTTTTCCTTTGGCACTGAAGTGGGTGGAGATACATTAATGGTTAAGATGGCTGTGCCCCATAACTCTGTCAGCTGTGAAGCTCGCACACCATGGCCTGAACACCAGATAGAAAGAAAGAACTTCTGCAGTTTTACTAACTTTTGGACACTGCACAATTAAACACCATACTTCCTTTGATACTGTGTCACACTTAAGATTATTCTTTGAAAATTCCTTTCAAATTAAATGAACTCCTTTCTTTTGATGCAACTAGAAAAGCCTTGATATTGAACTAGAATAATACTGTCATTCATTTTCTCTGAATACAATGACTTGGCCAAGTCATAAGCTACATAAAGCTCTGAACATATTATGTGCCTATTTTTAAGCAAAGTTTTAGAACTACATTATGAGGCACAATCTTTTGACATTTCCATCCAAAGAAACTATTTAAAATCATTTGTCTTGCTGCACTGCTGGGCATATACTTTTCAGAAAGACTGACTAGCACATGCCACTGTATTTGAGGGGTTTCACAGGTGTTCTGTATTGTTTGAATACTAATATGTTAAAAAAACCATGATCTCCTGAAGCTTGGTAGTGCCACTCATTACATCCAGTCTTTCATCTTTATGAAGCCAATTCCTCTGAAATGTTCCCTCTGAGGTTCAAGGGCAGTATATTTTTAGAGAATTCTATTTAGAACACATAACTAATTTTCTTAGTTATGCTGTTTGTTCCTTCAGTTATGCCATTTGTTTGTAAAAAAAAAAAAAAAATTCAGACTCTTCTCTGTGAGTGGAACTTGGTCCTTTAGAATGAATCAATTTACTTAAGCAGTATGCAATTTGAAAAGTAAATATACAACTTCAGCTCTCAGTATCACTCATTCAAGTTTCATTCCTTCCAAGGTGCTTTGTTATTTTATGCCAGACCTTTAGTCCAAAGATGCTCAATGATAGACCACAGTAATTATGCAATATCTTGTGAAATGCTTTGTTTAACAACACTGGAATTGCTTTGAGAATGGCAGAATAACTTGTTTTTTATTCTATTTCCCTGATGGTGGACTGTATCTTTTTTTTTAAGCCCCTGTTTTGGATAGAAGAAGGAAATGTTACTGGCAAAGGAAACACCTTTTCTGAAGACATATTTAAAATACTGATCTATGGACTAAGTATAACCACAGAATTTATATTTTTTCAAAATTCAGTTGCATGCCTACAGAGCTGATCCAGCACTATCAACGTTCTCTAGCTATTCTTTCATTTTTCTATGACAGTAGTGATTTCAAAGACATCCTGAAATGTCTGTAGGGCTGTAATTTAGCTGAGTATCAACTTCCTGCATCTCCTAATAATCCTTGTGAGTATTTTGTTCTTCATCTTTTAAGATCCCTCTGCAGGACACAGAGGAGTTTTTGAGCTTTTTCCTAGTCAAATAGATGAAATATGCTGATTTAAAATAATGATACCCTAAAACACAGTTCTAACCAGAAACACCCAAGATGGTCCTGGCTGCCTTGAGGAACTGTCCTACTGGCTCCCTCCATTCCTTTTCCTCTTGCACACTGCTGCTTCTGTATTCAACATCTATTTCCACTCTTTGATTAAATGTAAGCCAGCTCTTGCTCTGTGGACTTGCAGTAAGACTTCAAATACCTCAGCACTTAGGAGCCAGAAGTGTTCTTCAGGCAGAATAGCACACAAATGTTAATTTAGCATGTTCTAGACTGGGCACACGTTCCTCCCATTCATGTACATCACTTTTTCATTGCTATAATTCTGCCAACTTTAGCAGAGTTTACCTTGATTTATACTTCTGAAGAAGTGAGGCACCAGGATAAACCAGGCAAAAAACTCCAATCATATTTTATTATATATATATATAGTAATGGTAAGTGTAGTTCCTCACATCCAGCTACAGGATGGTTGTGGTATTCCCCATTAAAAAAATCCCACAAGACAGTGAGATTGACTAATTTCAGTCAGCTGACAGCTAGTTGACAGCCCGCAATAAGGACAGAGAGCTTTTCAGCACAGGGGTTTAAAGGGCTAAAGCCTTCATTTGTGTATGCTTTTAATTGTGTAATGCATTTGTATCACTTTCACCAATGCATCTTATATGCAGAAAACTCATTGCATTTTATTTTCCTCATTTTATTGATTCATTTTTAAGTGTCTTTGTTTTTCTCAAGGTTCAGGTGCATGGTGACAATTTTGCTACAATTAGAACAGAGTCTACCAGGTGACAGGGAGGGAATGCAGATGAATGAGGGCCTGGTTGATTCAGATCTAGAATTCAAATCTCTGGAGACAAAATTGGCATGCTTTGGGCTACATCTAGCCCTGGTAAAAAAAAGGGAAAATTCATTGAAGGCTCTGATGTAAGAGCAGCCAACAAAGAGGTTACCTGAATATTTCCAGCTACTTAAAATTTAGAATCTGACTAAAAAAGACAAGCTACGATTACGCCTGCCTGACTCTTCATTGAAAATCTGGTTATCTTATAGGTCTTACTCCTCAGCTTCAAAGTCATCCATCAGATTAGCCTAAGCTACTACAGATGACCTCCCAAGAGATCTCCAGTCCACTGAGCTCTCTAGAGTCAAACATAAAAACTGAATTTAGGACTATGGAAGACAGAGCTATCCAGACCACTCACCCACAATGTGTCTCCATCCTCAAAGAGATGAGCTCTTCTGGGAATCCCAGCTTCTTCAGATCAAAGTATAAAATCCACCCCTTAACATGGTCTTCCCTGAGAATAAAAGATAAAAAATCCTGCTGTCGAGGAGGTGATGAGAGAGCTACGGCACTTTTTAATGTGTTTACTTTCCAGCCTGGAATGTGCTCACACAGTACAATGTTGGAGAGCAACAAAAGCACCCCAGCAGGCAGGGGGGTCATTGATGGCAGCCTCTGTGCTGGGGAGAGACTAAACAGGAGAGAGACACAGAGGGATGCAGGACTGGGGCTCACTGCAGTTTAACCGTGACAAGTGACTTTGGTGGTCTCCATCCTGCACTATGCTCAGGGTGGTCTGCATAAATCAGCAGGATCAGCTTTGACTAGGGATGTTTTTCATTTAGTGCCTCTCTCAGATTCAAAGGTAAATTTTCAGATTCAGAAGCTGTGATGTGATATTTTCTCTGCCATATATTTTAATTTGTATGGCCTATGCAGAAGTTTCACACACTCACATGGTTGTGTGTGAAATACAAAGACAAGTAATGGATTTATTATGCTGTTTTCAAGCTCTGCTAGTCTAATGCTACATGAGTTTGAGTAGTCACACATTTACTATGCAATTTATCTGTATATATTCCACTTCTTCAAAATGGCTTTGTTTTTGTGGTGCAGGTGCAAAACAAACATTATCTTCAAAAACTTTTCAAGTTTCAGTATTTCAGCCAGTTGCATTAGTAAAAATTTTGTAAATTCTATATAAATCCCTCAAACTATATATCAATAGAGTAGTTTTACCATTGACCACAGTGTATTGAAAACTACTTAGATAGTGTGACTATCTCAGACTGCATTGCTATTACCTCACTGAGCCTTAGTTCTAAGTCTTTTCTCTCAAATGGTAACTTTATAAAGTTGGAGCATCTATGGAGTTGCTCAGAGCACTCAGTTGAGCACGTACCTGCATGTGTGCAGCTTTCAGGCCTCCAGTGTCCACTTTATTTGCACCATACATTTGTGATTACATACATTAATTGTTACATCTCCTCTAAGGTTTGAAGACATTTAAAGGATTCCAGATATACTATTAAACTTTACACTGGCCTAAATCATAAATTCAAGTAATTCAGCAATAATAAAATAGAGGCAATGTAATTGAGATTATTATTCTGATTTCAAGTACAGTATTTGGATTTTTACTGGTGTTGTAGAAATTAAAATCTGGCCTATAGTAGTATTGTTTTAATCCTGACAAACCTTTCCACAACTATGTTTTCTTCATATGGATAGGGCTGTAAATAAGTACTTACCCCATAAAATGAATATGGTACATGAAATACTTTGTCTTTGTATTCTTGCAATGTATGTAGCCTCATACAAGTACAGAAATGGATTAGACATTCCTCTTTGGTTAAGAGATATATCAGTGCATAAAGTCACAGTCTGGGTTCATTTAGCCTTTTCATTTGTAGTGCTCCATATTACATGAGTGCAGATCTATTTGAATCTGTTTAATATTCATGATCCTCTCACCAGTCTGAGTGAAAGAGATAAAGCTTTTGATAGCAATCTCAGCAACTTGATTAACAATGCACTAATCATCACTACCATTGACCTGATTCAGAAATGTTTTCAATTCATCCATCACTTTATAACCAAAGATGATTGCATTACCTTACCATTTTTTATTTAAATAAAACCACATGAGCTGTAAATATCTTGCCATTTCACTAAATGCACCTTGGTACCAAATTAATTTATTTTTAAAACTAAATACCAAAATGACCTATAATAACCAATTAGGGCAGGAGCATAGGGAAAACGTATCACAAGTGGTCTGCAATAAAATCAATTCACTTTGACTTCACATCAATAAATGTTAAATTGTGCCAAGGAATTAATTTTGCAATAAATTGTTATTGTTGTTATAAAATCTAACTAACACATATTACCAGGAGTAATTATCCATATATCAGAATGCATTGAATGTAGAGTGTGCACTATAATTACTCCCAAAATTGCTTATCATTCAAATGGTAATTTTAGGGATAATGTTTCTTTAACTATAACTTTATAAATTTCATCAGAAATTTATTTTTAGGATTTTTTTTTCTTCACTTGGTACTGCAAAGAAAACAGAAAACTGACTGTTACAAATGCAACAGATAATAAATATGGTAATGCAGTTTAATCAGTATGTCTTACTTTAATATATAATTGCCAAATTTTGCAACACTATTAGTAAAGTGAGATACCTCCTTGAGAGTGGAATTTCCTTCATGAGTGCAAGCTGGAATCTCCAAGTCTATTCATGGCAATAGGTAGGGTACAGCACTGTAAAAAATATCAGCATCCCAGTCTGTGTGAACACAAAACCTGTAGGGGTCATTAAATGTTTTTAGATATTGAGTTTTTCTCTTGTTCTAGTATTTGTGTTCAGGCTGAAGTCCACTGTCGACAGGGGTTTGGAAACTGTGATACCAATGACGAAATAGGGGTGAAAAAAAAGAAAGAAAAAATCACAGAAAAAAAAGAAAAAGACATCAAGCCTCTGTACTATTTTTCCTTTTTTAGACCGGGGAGCTTTAAAGGCTAGTTCCAGAATGCAGATACTACCATGCTTTTAGTAATTCTTAAATGTTGTGATTAAATTATTTTGACCATTAGAAGTTTGAAATTATCATGACTGTTCTCAGCTCGCCTGAAGCCCTCTAATGTCTTTTATTGTTTTTCATTTTTGCCTTAACAACATCATATATCTGAAGTTCTGAACATCCCAAGTGATAGAAGAATACACCTGGAAAGATGTCAGTGTTTTGTATTAGGCACAGAACCAATAATATCTAGGGACAATTCCTAACAGTATCCAGTTGCTTTTTGAGGGATTAGTGTAAGTTAGTAGTATTTGTTTAGTTTTATCATCACTACTTGAGATAAAAAATTTTGGCAAAGTCTGTATATAGGAGCAGGGAGTTTAAATTATTTTAATCATAGAACTGGTCATATAATTGTGAATTATAAGAGGAAGAAATTAAGGAAGCTCAGCTCATGCTGCTGTGATGGAGCTCATCGTGTAACAGATAACTCTGTGCAACTGCTGTTGCTGTCTAAGAGGAGTGCTTCAGAGCAGTCCTTTGCACATTCAAAATACACTAATATGGTGATTAACTTTGGTGATTAATTTTGGGGCTGCTTCTTATGAAATAACACTACTCTGTTGAACATATGCTTTATGCTACTTTATTTTCATAACCACATATAGTAGATTAAATCAGAAAACACAAAGGCTTTCACAAAGTATTTTTGAAATAACTTTTTGAAGTTATTATTTATTATCATGAATAATGAGTTTTGCATTCTGTGGGTGCTACTGAATTTGCAGTTTCATCAGAAAATATTGGGGATGATGACCAAGTCCTTGTTTTTCAAATGTTTGTAACACACATCCTGAGGATGTGACAGAATTTTCTGCATTTTCTTCATTGCCCTGGGTGAAATGCTTATGTCTAAAAGCCCAGAGTGCCAGCAGGAATCCAATCATTTGTAAGAATTACCATGATCATGAAATTGCACTTTTACTTTTGGAAGTGATCAACACATACTGTAAAGATGAAATAGGGGATCTCTAAATTACTGTCTACATCTTGTAGTTGTAAGAAAACATTTCCTCAATGAGAAAGACATTTCAAGTCTCCTGGAACAGCACTGTGAAAAACTACAGCACAATGGGGGACATGGGGCTTCTAATACTTCCCTTTGGACAACCAGTTTAACCCCATCAGGGTAGGTTCTTGCCTAGGTTAATCCTGGTTAGGTGATTGATGTAATCCAGACTCCAAGAACACACAAACAAATTACATGAAATTGCTTTTCTATGATAGCTAAAGTTTTGCAATACAATTTTTACTGCCCTGAATTTCTTTTTACTTTTCTTGATATTTTTCCTTAAAGAAATCTCTCAGAGATGCCCAAGGATTTTGTAAACCAGGAGATGCTAAGTATTTTTGAAGACCCTGACACAGTAAATCATTAAGAATATTAAAGTGATATTTTGAGAATTAAATACAAAGAAAAAAAGTTTAAAAGTTAAGGGGTCCACAAGACATGTATGGTTCTCAAAGCCTCTTCATAATAATTCATTAAATGTACCTTTCACTTCTAGTGGGTGCTTCTCATTCAACAGTTTTGTAGATTTCAAAAAGTTTCTATTAAAAAGCACTCTTAAAACCCTTCTGAAGTGAACAATTTTTATCCAATGCTTGATTATTTAATAGATAATCTAGATTTAATTTTGGTAAAGAAAAATATGTGTCAGCTTAGCCATCTAATACAAAAATACATGGCCTAGAGAAATGTTATTTTAAAGCTGTTTGCCTCCTTAATTGCAACAGTCTGTATATCTATTTGTCTAGACTCCATCAAGGGCACTATTGTAGCTGGAGGCATTGGTTTGAAGAAGACTAAAGGGCTACATCATGTCAAAGCCTCAAGTAGGAATTATTGCCTTTCTTGCCACAGTTCACAGCTGTATTATGTCACCAAATCACATCACAGTGTAATCAAAGATGAATAAAATATTTTTTTTCTTTACCTTAAACGCTTTCCCTGTCAATTACAATCAAAGGACATGATTTCAGGTCTGTCAGTTTGCTGGGTTCTCTCCTACTGATGACTCCAAAACTGTAATCTGCTAAATATAAAATGAATCAGAGAAGTCTTAGAATGATTCTGCTATTAAGAAGAAGAATGTTTTTCTCCCAGAGGGGACAGGAAAGTAATTGGTCTTTAAAGAAAGAAATCAAAGATGTTAAAAAATTACCTTTTTGGTCCTTTTCTCTCCATCTTTGGCTTTTTTTTTTTTTTCCTGTGCTAAACCTTCAGCCATCCAGTTTTCTTCTCCTAAGAAGGAAGGCATAAGTATTCTAATCAAATCTGTCCAGTTTTGTGTGCCATTAGAGTAAACATTTAACTGTGTCTTGTTTGCTTCATCTCACCTTTTCCCTCGGTGTTATTGTCGATTGGGTGCTCTGTAATGGGCAGGCTGCACGCCTGCTGCAACTCCAACTTCTGGGCACTTTAGTGGCTTGATTACATCATTAACCATAATCAAAAACATTTCCCCAGAATGATTTTAGCTTGGTAGTAAGGGCTGCTTCCTTTGATCTCAGTAGCAACATTTTACGATAGGTTGCTCCTCATTTACACTACAAATGCTGGCAAAAATGAAAGTGGTATCTTCCCTAGTAATACCAGATAAAATAAAATAACTGGTTAGCAGTCATGCCAGCTGCTATCATTGATGAAGAATGGCCTTTCTCTTGTAGGAAAAGTGTATAAACCTGTATATATGTATGTGTGCACGTATTACTCCGTACAGTGAAATTTTCTAATATACATCCTTGTATTATACTTAACAATACATTTCTTTTCAGCATTTGAAATGTGGTTTAAACCATGCCATTGGATTGCAGCTTTGCAAAATATTTTTAGCTGTAGCAAAAAAAATTCACTGCACCTGCACTGCTCGCAGAATAGACCAGAATTCCATTTTAGTGCACTGAAGTCTTGTCAGAAGCCTCATAGCAGATGTAGTTTCCAGCATTTCTAATGATGTGTCCGTATTATAAAGTTAGTGCAATAATTGGAGTTCATATCAGTTACCTGCACAACCAAAACATCAATTGACCAACCACTCCAAATCTGAAAAGACACATGGATCTGTACCTGCTACAGGGAGATCACCCCAGTGCTGTTCTAGAGGACTCACAGCAATACACCACATGTATACCATAAAAGTCATGTTTGATCTGTAAAGGCTCCAGGACCAAACTAGAGCTGACCCATGTGGGTGGGACAGACAGAGGATGTTCAAAGACCTTTATACTGGAGCCCTTGATCTCTCCTGTGCTCTTCCTGTCGTGTTTTACAGTCAGTCTCTTACACTGGATCTAAAGTTTACTGGGGGAAGATGGGAAGTGTTTTGTGGCCTGCAGCATGTGCCAAAGGGATAGAGAGAGAAGAATTGTTTTGTGGACCTCTCCAGGCTGTGCATCCTGCTTGACTTTTGGGGATTATGTTTGATGTCCCAGCTGTTCAGACCCACACCCCCACCTTATTCCCAGCCAGATGATCCAGGTACTGCAGGGTCACAGGACCCTCTCACCTTCCACTCCCAGAGCTGCACAGCCAGGAGCTGGGTGCCTCCAGCTACTCTGGCTCCCAAGTCTCACTTGCCAGCAAGTTTTGTAGTTGAAGAGTTTCCCTGAAATCTTGTTTATTATTTTATTCCCATTTCAAAGCAAAAGTGCTGCAATATACAAATGTCTAACAGGCACTTATCTTCCATATGCTTGCTTGAGGAGCAGTGGAAAAGAAAAAGGAAATTAGTGTCATCTTCTTGTTGGTTAAAACAGAGACATTTTTTGATGCTCTTCAGTTGCTGATGGTTTTGTTGCCTCTAACAAGCATCAAAGACACAGCAAAGTTTAAAAAACCAGAATCTGCTGAGATTGTCATGCCATCAACAGTGACAGAGCATTAGGGTTTTCTGGTGATACACTTTCAATTTTCAGAGATGCCAATGGATAAAAGAAGGCTAGCAAAGAAGTGCTAGTGAATAATGGAAAGTTAACTACTGGGCCCTTCCTTGGCAGCTGTCCCACCAAGTTATGATCTATTCATGTGGATATTCCCCAAGATTTCAGAAAAAGAAAACCAAATACAATCTCTAGTGGCCAAATTTAAAATGGCCACTGCCTTTAGTAGGATGATACCCCATACAATCTACAAACATGCAAACAGAGGAAGCAGACTGCCTGCATCCATCAACTTAGTAAATGCCTCCAGATTAGCAGAAATATTTTGAAACAGCCAATAATTATAAAAGAGTTGCTTGCCATTGCATAATTATTTTATAAACCACATAACATACAACTGTTACTGAGTCACAGAGGCCCTCTTCACACGGTACCATATGGCTAATGGCTTCTACAGCACATCACACCATACTGAGCACTCCTTCTCATCATACTGTATTGGCTACTGGCTCAGTTTGCTGCTAATGTCTGTGTTACCCTTTCACTGCATGTTTATTTTATGAAATTGTGGCATCTGTTTTTGGTGTTTATTCTAAAATGGCATTGCTACGTTCCCCAGCCTTAGCCTGAAAATCACCTCAGTATTAATTTCCCATGGTAGATTTAAAAATATATTTTTTGTTATCTTTTTCTTGGGTCTCTGATGAACAATCTTGACCTTTTTTGTATTTTGATTTAAAGTAAGATTTTTTTTTGTTTGTTTCTTGAGTTCTATTCCTGAGTGAATTGCACTGGGTAATATTGGATCTTTTCATTCTTCTGATGGCAAACACCCTTTGCCTACACTGACCAAGCTGCCAAATATTGAAACACAAATAATCTTCTTTCTCATTTAGCTCCCAAACACCTTAATAACCTTTACACAGCTAATATCTAATTCTAGTATGAAAGCACTATTGCAGGACCTACACACCAGGGCTACACACAAAGGGCATTTTTCAAAGTTTCAGCAGTATCATAGTAGCTGAAATATAATTTTAAAACAATGCTGAGCTGTTTTGTAAACTTCCATAACAATTCTTTGAATATGTGACTAGAATTGGAATTGTCCTAAAAATTTTAATCTTGCATCATCAACCAATATGTCTGTTTCAGGAAAAATACCGATTCCATCCCATTTACCAACAACTAAAGACACAAACAACTTGCATTTGTGGGCCCAGGTCCAACAGAATTCATGTCTGACACTGGCCAAGCGTATGCTGTGAAACCTGGTCCTTTGCAGTCACTGTCACAGAAAACCCTTGGAATCTCTTCTGCAGCCACAAACCTTCCTTTACAACAGGAGCAGTAGCTGTCTGTTGGCCAGACAGCTGGACCAAGGGTAGCTACAAGGCTGGCAAAAATGCAAATACTTTGCACTTGTTCCTCCAAGGTGGATCACACAGAAAAGTGGTGGTGAGCATCTGTGCAGAAGAGTTGTGCTGTTGGCCCTTGCTGTAACCTTCCCTGTGAGACTGGGATGCCTGTTTTAACATCTAACCCTGCCCCTGTTAAAGTTGGTGACCTGTCTCCCAGGTACTCTAGGAAAGCAGAATGAGCTCTTTGGAGGACAGCCCAGTTCTGAGTTCCTCAGTGTCTTTTTCACTCATTTCCCATGAGCAGCGTCCCATGGGATGCACCTGGGCAGCCCCTCCTGGCCTGGGACTGACTCCTCCACCAGCTCTGGGCTCACCCCAGCTCCCAGCACTGGCTGCCCCACAAATGGCCTGTTCTCTCACCCTGCAGAGCAGCACTAAACTAAAACAAATCTACTCACACCATCTGCTCACAGACAGCACAGTTACAGGGAACTAATCAGCAAAGTCAGGCTTTCACTACACAGAAAAATAACTCTGATTTTTTCAAGTATTTTTGGAGCAGTCTCTGCTGTTCATGGTGTTCCTCAGGTGCTTACAGTAGCTGATACCAAGAGAAAGAGAAGACAGACCCAGGACACCAACTCCCTGCTGAATACTGTATGCAGCAACTACATAGCCTTAACTGAGTCTTAATATGTTCTTTTAATAGGCCTGTTCTAGTTTAAAGTGTCTTGTGTTATCTTTTCCTTGTTTGGGGCTTTTCTCTCGATTTCCCACTGTGAAATTGCCTTGGTAAAGCAAAGTCAGAGCAAAACAATCATGCAGAATGTCTGCAGCCTAAACCAGATGATTTCCATGCATCAGTCTACACATGGAACTGGCTACCCTTCCAATTCATGATTTGGAAAAAGCTAGTAAGGCAAAAAAAAATTAAAACATTTTGGCAAGAACAAGGAAGAAAGGAAGAAGAAAGTGTTTATTAAATGCCTGATGAACAGTTGGAGAACTTTAGATCTGATTTCATTCAAAATTCTTGTATAAGTGCAGTTTGTTACTGATTAACATGACCTAGTGCTTGTTAAATGGGCATGACTGCAGTTTTGCCAACTGCACTGGAACACAAACGAGTTCCCACAGTAACCTCATACTAATGTTAGCACAACCTGAGTACTATCAGCTGTGCATTTATGCAAAAACCCAACATTTTACTGCAGATTTAACAGGAAACACCCACTTTGTTTTGCAGGGAATCATATACCTAAAAGGTTGGTTTTTTCTCTATTTTTCTATTTCAACTGTTGCAAATCTTGGAAAATTATTTAATTGAATAAAAGAAACCAACTTCATACATTGAATTGAAAAAAATAGGAAGAAACAAAAAGAAAAGAAAGTTATTAAGACTTTTTTCCCCTAGATATTAGGCAAATAAGGGAAGAGTTGAATTCATAATGTATTAGCCAGACAATCTTTCTGCATGTCTTTCATTAAATGAAGATTCATAAGAAGCCAATAGGTAAACTAAGCAATATATACCATAATTTTAAAAAGGACCATCTGGGGCAATAATAGAGCCTTAAACTTTAATTGGACTTAACTTCACAGAAAAATATCTTTACATCAGACATTCTGGTCTGTAGAACCATAGAGATATGCTTTACTGTACTTCTTGTCACACAGATAATGGAATTGTCCTATGAAACAAAGTTTGACTTTACCTTGTGGTTTCCTTTGCATCTACGATATTTGAATTAAGGGTTATTCAAAATTTATGCCTCATTTCCTTCCATACCTCCATCCTTAGACTGCTGTCAAGAATTATTTATTAACTCTATTATAGTACCACATTGAGGCCCTAATCAAAATTATGCCCCTACTGTGTTAAACTCTGTACATTATAAAATAAAAGATAATCCTTCTCCAAATTCTTACATCAATATAAGTGAAAGGTGTCAGCATAACAT